TTTTTTTTTTTTTTTTTGTAATAATGGTTCGCCAAAGTTTCTAACTATATAACTTTGGCTTTTCAGCATTGTAAGCTTTATTAAGCAAGAAATTTTGAACATTAATCACTTCTTTCGCAAACTGCACTTTTTTTTTGAATTTAAAAAGATCCTTTTTTACCGTTTACTACATCAAGAGCTTTAATAAAGTAGAAAAATTATTGTCTGAAGAAGTGAACTGATGTTGCTTTGTTTAGATTAAAATATTTGGCTTTTCGATGGGTTTCGGAACGGGTCCACTTTCTGTGTTAAACTATTTGGCATGTCGAACAAACGGCGGTCATTTTGTTGTTGATTCTGTAAGCGATGTACGGCATCAAGCGATCAACTACCTCACCAAACTTTCTGGACTCTTGTTTAGTGCTTTATTTGAAAAACCAGTTGAGTCTCGCCCAGTCAGCTGGTACCTAAAATTTTATTAGTAGAATTAGCTGTAAATATCGCTTTTTTGCTTCAAATAAGCTGTTTATATTAATAAGACAGCTCTTATTAAATCGCTTGTACATTAATATAAAAACAATTTAATGTAACTAAAAAATTTACTATCCACTTGGTTTAAAACAACAAAATCTAACAAAAAAAAAACGGTTATCTCTTTAACTGTTACTTTAGGTCAAACTTAATGATGGACGTTCAAGGAAGAGGACCTGTATTAACGCTTTCAATGCCAATCTTAAGTCCAGTACGAAACAATTCCCGAGTTGTTGCTGTTGCTGCAGTTGACATTGAACTAAAACAGCTGATCAGAATGCTTCCAAATAACGACCAAATTTATGCATTTATTGTTGATAATAATGGCATCGTAATTTACCATCCAAAGCTTAAACTTCCAGTTAGTGTGTTTCTTTCATTTTCTATTGTCTATTTGAAATAATTATGCTCAAACGACTTGGCTCCATATTACAGCTATACAAAGAGTTGTTTAAATTTTGTTTGATAATTAATATGTGTTCCTATGTTCATTTGAGCAGTAAAATTAGCAGGATAAGAATAGTAATAATAATAATAATATAATAATAATAATAATAATAATAATAACTATAATAATAACTATAAAAATAAGGAGTAAATTGGAGATGCTTTATTCTTGCTTTAGTTTTTTTGCAAAAATTTTTTTGAAGCAAAAATACCTTTTTTTTTGGTTAAATACTTGTGAATATAATTTTAAGAAGACGGAACTGTATGCGGTAAGACGTATGGCATGTCACGACCGACATTCCAGACAACGTGGAGGCAGTAAGATACAGTTTACACAAACAGATGAAACTGTATTGAAACTGATGGGCCTGTTTGATTCTATTCCAACATACGATATTGTTAGCATCTGTGTCACTAAGAATGCTTTTTGAAAGTTTATTTTTACCAGAAAAATCGTATTCAAGAAAAAAACTGCTATTTTTATTCAACTTCTTAAACGAGTTTGAAAAAACATTTCAAATTATGCAGTAATTTTTTTAATATTTATAAATTTGATTATTTCTATTACCCAATTATATTCAGAAAGATTTGGAGCCACATAGCGCAGCTTTATTCGAATTTCGAAAAGCAATGATTGACAGAAATTGTACAGAACAACCAGTATTGGATGTATATAACTATGCCTCTTACTTCAATCGTCAATAGCCTTTTAAATTATTGCTAACGATATTGAAAAATATAAAATTTTTAGCTGTTGATTGATAGTAAATTAGATTTAATCCAGTGGTCCACTACTTTGCACTTCATGATTATGGAAAAAATTCTTACTCCTGTAATCTACATTGTTCACGTATATCAACCCCAATTTTTAAAAATTCTTTTTCTTTTCCAGGATAATCGTGAATATTTTTGTTCCGCTGTTGATGGTACACCACTGGTGGTAGGATTTGTAATGTCGAGAAAAAAAACTGCTCTGTTCTTGAATGTAACAACAAAAAAACCGAGAAAATTTGAGAGCAATTTAGTCGGATATTTTTTAACCGATCAGTAAGCCATTCTATTTTGTAACATCAAATGTTCAAAGTTTTGACTTGTAAAATAATTTATTGGACAGCTCAATCTGAATAATTATACATCATAATTTAGGCATATTTGTGATGGTCAACTGAATGAATATGATGTTGCGGAACGTTTCGATGCATTAATGTCCAGTAATGTCTGTGATGATGAACTGAATGAAATAAATGCATTAGTTTATGCATCAAAAGAGTGGATTCATAGTTGGCCATCACTTATCTCAAATAATTCCTGTGCAGCTAATCCAATTCCAGCTGGTTTCGATCCGTTCTATTTTATCCTTTCATTCATCTACACTCCCGCCGGGTTTACGTCATTTTATCCGAATTGGTCAGTGTTAATTTTACCACTTATAAAAAAGTTACATTATTCCATCTTCCCGTATCTGTCCCTTTCCTTATCAACAATAATCTGCGATAGATGTATATCCAAAAGTAGACTTCAACATCTCTTTATTTTTGGTTGCCTAAAATACAATTAGATATTTTTACATTCTAAATTACAACACCTAACGTGTAAAGAAATGCTGCACCCTGAAATGAAATTCAAGAAGGCTTTTTTCAAAGTACAATTAATCAACAGTCTTATTTCTAGCATAAGTCGAATTTTTACCTGTAGAACTGTCATAAGACTATCAATAATGTGGTGATACTAGAATACACAAATTCAACGGCATTAAAATGCTCTGTAAACTTATAGCAGTATAAAACTTATGGAAAGTGCGTTGGAAGAATTCAAACATCGAAATTTTGACAATTATCAAGATGAGAATAAGCTACAACTGCTACCGACGTTTTCCAAACCGCCTAATATTATTACCTACAAAAATCTCTACGATGCTATTCATCAAAAACTGCTAGCCACTGTAGGCGTTATATGGACCTCAACATTCCTGACCAGTTACTTTAAGAATTTGACAGTCAACCTTAAAGCACCAAATTCATCCGATTGGAACGTTTGTTATGTTAGTTCATTTACAAGTAATATGAAAAATTTATCGCCCGAAAATATGCTATAATTTTTTATAAACAAGATTGTAATTTACACCCTGTTTATCTATTTGATTACTGGGCAGTCCTTACACATTATATTCTACTTTATACTTTAATAGCAACTACTACTCACTGAGCGACTTTTGATAATCTGTTAATTCTAGGGTTCAAGGCGTTGTCATATGGTAACCGAAACTGGGCACATTGTTGCTGGGTTCAACTCCGAGAAGCATTTGGCAGAAGCAGATGTGTTTGTTCTTCACGAACTCGTGAAAAGATCTTTTGCCAAAAGGTTTATTATTTTCTTCGTAATCCGCATACACGCTTATGTCTTGCACCACAAAGTCCACCAAAATGATCCAGATGCAATCATTTAGATGGACTGAAATCGACAGTCAGGCACAATGCCCGCCTCTTCGATGGTATTTTTCGTCATCAAATGCTTCACCGCCGAGGCCACACTCCATTATCACCATCTTGTTTAAGCTCACCAAATTGCTTACTTCAGCGTTCTGGTACTAAAGTTCAAAAGAAGCACGCTTCAGCTTTTCTTTGAAGTCGAAAATGTAGAACTCTTACTATAACAACACTGTCTAACTCACACTGCTGCTTCTCTATAAAATATGATTGAAAATGAAAAGTAGTGAAAACTAATGCCAATATCACGAAGCCAGATCTAAGTGTGAAATTTCAGGATGGAACTACTGGTGCTTTTTAAAGCAACAATACAAGATGTACAATCGCAACCAGTACCTCTAGATGACCGTTGTGTCTACTCCGAAACCAATCACGATGAGCTATGCACTGTTGAATACCCAAATTATTGGATTCATATTAATCAAACACAGTATTTTTATGTCAATACGGGTAAATGTATGAGGTAAGCTGCAGCTACTACCGCAAATTGTAGAAACAGTATTAAAACTGACCAACCTATCAGCAATGCGGAATACTTTGGCAGTAATAAAAACTAGTAGAATTTCCTGCGCTGCCTATGAATGACTATTCATTGACAAACACCCATATTTGGAAACTCTGTGAGCAAAATTTAAGTTTCAGGGACGTTCGGATTTTTCCGGTACCCGGGGTTTCTCTCTATCTTTTCGTCATGCAAAAGCCGTGCGAAAACGAAACTGTCTCTGACACCCTCAAAAAGCAGTACTCTTCGTCTGCCAAAAGAGGTTTCTATTCCAAAC